ATCCATGTCCCGGTCCACTCGACTTATTCGAGTGGTGAGCCTTCGGCGCTGCCTGTACATCTGTACAGCCGCCAGGAGCTTACTCCGCAGTGTAGTGATCATCTACACTGGGGTCTTGTGCAGTCGTGCTAACGACCGTACCGCAATTGAGGCCATCGCACTCACTCGCAGTACATCCACACGCTTGTGGACGCTCCATGACGTTCATCAGATGGCCATCTGATGAACAAGCGGCATGCATCGTTACGGATCGATGCTGCCAGATCACCCTTGGCTCGTATCTTCTGAGCCAAGGTAATCCCAAAATGACATCAAATTTGTCATCCAGATCCAGTACGATGAAGTCATCATCGTACTGTTCGTCCTCTAACCTGTAGTGGATTCCCACTTCACGCTTCTCAACGGTAATCGATGCGCCTGTAGCAAGGCGCACCGTCATCCTCGTCAGGGGAATATGGCGCTTCACGAAATTGAGCCCACGCTCCTCTAGTGACTGGCGACGAACAAAGTTGTTCGACGCCCCACTGTCAACCAGATCACAAGGCGACAAATCATTTGTCGCTTCCAACTTCAAGGTGATGAGCGAAACGTCATCACCAGGTGCAGAGACGCACAATGATTGTGTATCTGGAGCAACTTTCGTCAAGAGATTTGCAAATTCTCTTGAGGTTTCTGGATCAGTAGGGCGCTCCTCCCCTTCTGACCCCGACCATTTTTAGATGGTCCGCTTCGCTGTTGTGGTTTCGTAACAGCGCTGGACCCACGCCCATTGCCCCTTTTGTAAAATGGACGACCATTTCTCTCAGTATTGCTAGGTACCGATCGAGGGGCACTACAATCGTAAGCTTAGTGTCCCAACGTCTGGCAGCGATAGCACCTCTGCAATCGCTTGTTGTTCGAAGATCGAGGTCTCTCGCTCTCAACATAACAGAGGTCCATTGGCTCTGGACCTCCCGTCTCTTGTCGTCTCAGTGGATTATAAGAGCTCGAGCTAGCATAAGCTTGTCTCATGCTAAATTCTTCCTCATCGGCTGCGGCAATAGCATCTTCTAGAGTATTCAGCTCAAGGCGGAACAGTTGATTCCTGGCGTGTCCTTCTGAGAGCATTTGCATGAACACAGTAATCAACGTGTGTTCATTAACCGATTCTGCAGTTATACTACTCGCGAGGAGTCGTATATGCTGAGCGTAAGCGTGCACATCACGCTTACCTCGTTTGAGTTTCAGGAGCTCTAATCGAGCCCTGAACTCGGCCCTTAGCGGCTCAAACGTTCTTTTCAGCCGGGTTTTGAAAGATTCGAGCGACTTAAAAGCGTATGGGTCGCTCATCTGCAGCCCTAAGAGCCAAGTCTTGGCACTTCCTGCCAAGTGGGATTGAGCAAATGTTAGCTTCATTTGTTCATCGTCGATGCGACGTGCCTTTATGGATCTGTCTCATTCGACGAACCATAACAACAGTTAGTCTTCCTCGACTCCTCTGTACTTGGAGATGTCAACCTTCAAGATTTCGGGGCGACGCGTGTGCGTCGTCCCCCCCACAGCAGCATTAAATTGCTGCTGTCTCAACAGCTCTGTCTGTTGAGCACCGAGTTCTCTCAACTGCTCAGCCTGTTGAGAGCCTTGCTGGTGAAGCAAGGCTACTTTCTCTCGTTCGGCGCCAAGTTCATGTTGAATGAACCTCGCGATGGCGGCATGTTGTTGGTCTCTGTCAAGAGATTCCAACATAGTGGTAACGCCAATGTCGCCCACGGTAGAGCTCATTCGCCCTACCGCGGCCCATTCAAGGTCACTCAAATGGGTGAAGCCTTCAAGTGTCGCGTGAAAGCTCTCTTCCTCATCCCTCATGTTCATGATGGATAAGGCGAGTGGGCGTTGGAAGGACTACAAAGTGCTACCTGGTGTAACGGGGCACGCTCTTGCTCAGATAACTGAGCAAGGCCTTGTGTTGTTAACAATACAAGGGTGCGTACGCCCGACGTCACGTACACGTGGCGTGAGGAAGCGCGACCAAGACAATACATAAGCCGAAAGCTCTGTCTTGAGGGAAAAGTAGAACTGTTATTTAATATAGTTATGTTTCTTACTAAATCATCTTTCGTCTTAATCTAACTAAATTAAACTACTGTCTCCTATGTGGGTCTTCTGTCCACCACCCATTGCGCGCGTCCAACACCGATTGGTGGTCAAATTGGTAGATGTACACGGTACATCAACCAAGAAGTGGACCCCTCCACGGATATTACCCTTAGAGGTTATATTCCGACAACATTGCTTTTCTCGAGTGATGTTGATTGAATATTATCAAAATAGATAAAATGTAAAATTGATACTTTCGTACCAATTTTTATGCAACGGGCTCACCCCGTTAGAGACGACCACGACTTGGTCGCCAAGAGTTGACTTGTACGCCAGATGGAAACAAAGAAAAAAACGCCAAACTTTCTGCGTATTCAGACCTAGCTTCAGGACAGATACAATCGACGGTACTGTAACGACATTCCTCCCATTATTTCACGAAACCAAAGAACAAACGCAGCGATCAGGGGCAGTGCGTGGAATGGACACCAGCGTCTTGGGTTCCGTGTTTCTAATAAACAAAAGCGCTTCTTCTTGCGCCTAGATATGACTTCATGTAAATACACTTACGATCGGCATTAACAAACTGTCTTTGCTTCCCACTTGACCACGATCGGGGACCACGTCAGAGTCGGTAAGTGGCCGCTACGCCCGAGATGCCGTTGTATACGTACGTGTGGTTCAGCGGCTCAAACTGGTGCGTGATCAGCTTCACGGCCTCCTGCGCAGCAACGCCGCCCATCAACGCGGCAATGTTGTGCAGCTCAACTTGGCACGATCGGGTCATCTCCAGCGCGTGGTCAAGAGTAATCCAGTTCGCCACGGCACTGCCAGCAGCCAGAGCCCTCGCCTTCGCTACCAGCCACACCCGGTCTTGCGCCACAGCAGCGTCCTCCGATCCAGGGTACCGATGGAATTCGGACGCAAAAAGAGCCACTGCCCGCAGCATAAAGTACCAGATCAACGGCGAGTGCTCCTTGTCCTCGTCGTCCAGATCCACGTCCGACAAGTCGACGTGCGCATACTCTTGCGCGACGCTGCGAGTTTCCAGCATGCCGATACTCGCAGCGTTCTTGCAAAACTCCGCAACAGTTTCATATGCGATCATGTCATCAGCAAGTTCCAAATCACGCAGCCGCTTGCACACCATGTCATACACCTTGGTCGCGTCCTCTTTGGCCTTGGTCACGTACAGCTCCTGTAGCGCCACGTACGACTCCGTTGACGCCGTCATGTCGGGCACAACTCCAGTCACCGGCAACAGTCCGTCGTTCTGCTCGACGAAATCGGCAAGTGCACTCGCCAGGAGCCAAAACTCGTCCGTGACGTCCAAGTCCTTCCTCTTCTCCAGCGCTTGTGCCGACACTGCGCGTGATGCAGCAGCTGCCAGCACCGACGCTACTTCGTCAGGCACCTGCGGCTTCACGTACGCCATGTACGCGTGCTCCGCCGCTTCGACAAAGTTCACTTCGTGACCAGGAGCGCCCCGCGCCATTTGCTCGAGCAAAGTCTTGAACGCACGTTTCTCGGCAACGGTCGTCGGCAGTTGGCCGTCCCCACAGCTTCTTCGTGTCCACTCGTTCCGCACGTGCAGCAGCAGCACTACGAACGGCACGTGCGCGTGTTCAATGCTCGAGAGCGACGGCAGGTCAAAGCTGTCGGCAAACGTTTGCAACGTCGAAAAAGGCCGCGACAGCCGCAGCTCGTGCCGCGGCGGGTCCAGTTTTGCATCGACAATCACGTGGTCCATCACTTGCAGCCGCAACGAGCCCACGAAGCCCCACGACGTCACGAGAATCAACGGACGTCTCTTGTCCCGACACAGTCGGGCCAGCAAGAGCGTCACGTGGTCGTCCAATAATTGTGTAGCCATCACGAGATCAAAGGGGTCCAGAAACTGCGGCTCCGTCTCGAGCACGTGCTTCACGTCCGCGTGGCGAGCGCCTCCGGCCACGTCTGTGTTCAGTTCCAGCAGCATCTGGGCGACTGTCTCGCACCTGGACGCCCCAATAGACGCAGAAGCCACAAAGAAGTTATTTGTACGATCAGCTGGTGTCACGAATTGGTCGTCCATTATCGTAAAGCGCTGGACACCGGGCAGCACGAGGTTCTTGAGCGCTTCCGAAGCAGTTGCACACGAGCCGAGGACCAAGACGTGTGTGCCGGCCAGTCGACGCTGTCCTTCAGCGCCCCAGAGACGCAGCTGACGGTCGTACTTGTCGCCCATGCACGAAGGTGGTGAGGATTGACGGGAACAAAGTGGTCGTACAAAATAAGTGCTGCGTGGACGTCGAGGTGTGTGGGATAGTCATACGAAGAGAGCGTATTCTTTATAGGAGGTGAACGACGCGATTTCGATGGCTATGTGTCAGTTTGTGTCCGTGAGTGCTTCTCAACATGCGATTAGAGGGGGCGCCTGCTAAAAGTCGGGGCGAATTGACGTCTCGTGAAGTAACGGGTCCATTGCCACCGCATGAATGCTGCACGATTTCAATAATATACCTTTACCGACATGAGAGGTCCATCGGATCAACAGTGTTACAAATGTTACGACTACTGTAAGTGCTCCCATTTCGTCTGCCACGTTGGGACATTTGGGCGATAGATAGATAGATAGATAGATAGATAGATAGATAGATAGATAGATAGATAGATAGATAGATAGATAGATAGATAGATAGATAGATAGATAGATAGATAGATAGATAGATAGATAGATAGATAGATAGATAGATAGATAGATAGATAGATAGATAGATAGATAGATAGATAGATAGATAGATAGATAGATACTCATGCACCACAGTCGTCCTCTTACAGTACCACTCCACGACAGCCATTCACGTCTAACAAGCGGATGTTTCATCGGTACCCATGTCTTTCTACACGAACAAACGTATGCTCTCACTGCCCCTCTGCAGTTCCTACTTGGCCCACGAGTCCTGAATCTGCATCCGCTTCGCCTTTTGCTCTTCGTCGTTGCGGTCCACGGCTCGCACCTTTATCCCAGGGAAATTGCTCTCGAGCAGCGCCTGGACACGAGGCAACTCGCTCTTTGGCGGAGTATACGTGCCACTGTTGTTGTCAATGTGCAGCGTGCAATTGCCTGAAGGTCCCTGTTCAACGTAGAACTCACCGGCATACTTGACGTGGAACTGGGCCCTCGAGTGCAGCATGTGCTTGGACAGCATGTCCTTGAAGAACGAAGCCCCTGTCTCGGAGAAGTACCAGCCCGTCTCAATGATCACGTACGTAAAGAGCACGGACTTGCCGTGACGCACGCCGCCGTGCAAGAGCTTGAAAAAGTCAGCAGCTTCTCGGAATTCGCCGTAGATCGTATCGGCCTTGTGCTTGTAGATCAGGTCGTGCTCGGACTGGACCATCTTGCGCATCACGGGCGCTTCCAGGTGGTTCGAGGCAAAGATCCGCTGCACCGGTTCATGGTGGTGGTTCCACTGAAAGTCCATGGGCAAGTGCACGTTTATGTCGTGCAAAGCCACGTGGTAGGCCAGCGACCGCCGCTTTTCGTCGTCCGTCTTCGTGCCCGTGAAGAGGCCACTAATGAAACTCGAATGCACCGAATAGTGCACAGGTCCGTATTGCAGCAGCTTCCCGTCGCCAATTGCCTCTATCACGTGGGACTTGACTTTGACCGTGACAGTGCCCGCGGTCTTCTCGTCGTGGAGCAGTGTCAACTTGAACGTCGTCTCTTTGTCGTTCGTGTTCATGGCGGCAAACTTAGCCTGACCGAGTAGCTCGTCTTTGTGCTCGTCTTTGTCCATCACGTAGACGACGCACGGACTCGAGGGGCGGACGTTGTTGAAGTAGAACGTCTCGTGCCACACGGGCGTGCGGGTCGAGAACTCCGGACGGGTCCACGCCACGCGCTGACTGTCGATCTCGAGCGCTGCAAACGCGTCATTCGAAGTGACGTGGCCCTTGAAAGCGGCGGCCAAGTCAAAGTGGTCCCCCAAGGCGATGTTCGCCGCGGATACGATCTCGACCTCGACATTGAGCATCGGGTGCGCATACACTGGTGCAAGTGGAGAGAGTGCGATGGTGGAGGAAGCAATAGCAGGGGCAGACGACACTTGACCCATGTGTGACGAGATGCGTGCGAGACGAGGACAATTCACGAATGAAACGAAGAGCGAGTTAGAGTCAAGAGAGTCATTGGAGACTCTCAGTGGGGCGCACCGAGTCGGTTGGCTGTCTGCTTGACAGGACCAGACAGATCTCTGCCATGTGGTCCGAGGCCGCGTATCTATCTGGTCGAACATAGCTGATCGGTGGATACAGAAGAAGAGAGAGATTCATGACTATCTATTACACAGGATGGTTATGCGCTAGAAGTCTGAAATCTTCTAAGCCGAGAATACAGCGCCGGTCGCGGCGGTGGTTCAAGGCACCCCTCTAGTGGTAGCGAAAACCCGCTGGCATCAAGAGTAAAAAGTTCAAGGGAGGCATGTAATCTAGCCCCTTGAAGAACTGTCGACGCCCCTCTATGCTCACGCATAGCCAAGGCCGTTAATTGACGGACGCTCGCAGCCCAGAAATGGACGACACTTTGAGCCGTCGTAGACTGCACGCCTCTAAACACTGCATCGTTGCGCTCGCTCCATAAATGCGTAATGCGAATGGAACACATCAAAAAACCAAATCCGTCGCCACACCGTTTCGCCCGCTGCGGCATCATCTTGAATCCGCTCGAGCAACCGAGACCGCTGAAACGCCGGAATGGCCGGAGCCTAACGATTCGCACAGTTGCTGAGACAACTATCTACTACTGCGCTCGACACAGAAGCGCCAATCCAATGGCTGATGAACTTAGCCCAACACGCCCGCGCCTTCTGACAATCCCAAAAAACGTGCCTCGACGTTTCGGGCACCCCGTGACACGCAGACAGGGCCCGGCAGCTGGGGTCGGTAGCCCGCCCGGCATGGAAAAAATTAAGCTGCTTGGTGGCGACTCGATACGCCGTCCAAACTTGATAGTCGGAGAGTCCGTTGTCATGTTTCCAAAGTTGGGATGGTTGCTGATGCGCCGCCGCCCGTTGCCACAAATCCTCTCGATAGACTGCATCCAGCTGCTCCAAAAAGGGTAGTAAAGGTCGAGTTAGTCGATGTTTGTGCAGCGAAAACGCCCGGTGCAAAATAGCCTGACGGAGAGCTCCATTAGAAACCGTTTCGGGTACTCCCCACGCAAAGTGGTGGTGACTTGGGTGGGCATAAAAGACCACGCCGTGCTGCCTGATGTGCGTAGCCCATCTCTGGCTGTCACCGTCCGACGCCGTGTGGAGCTCGGGTAGGCCTTCTTGAAACAACCAATGCAGCCCATTAGAGCCCTGGCGTAACCACACCGTACCGTCTCCCTCCACAAACGAATTCCGGCGAGCTCTGGTGGATACAGAAGAAGGGGTGACGTGCGTCCGTCCATCGGTCGACGAATTAAAGGAGGAGGAGTTTCATGATCATCTATTGACATATTTAATGTGGACAAGAGGTCTGAAAAATCCTGAGCCAGGATATGAGCGCCGGTCGCGGCAGCGGATCGTGGCTGACACCCGCGTAGGGCGGGTGCCCACGGGGCTCTTGAATCAGAAGTTCAAGACAGGCATGAAGTCGGGCCCCTCGTACGGCCGTAGCCGCGGCTCGATGCTCGCGTATTGCAATTGCCCGTAGCTGGCGAACACCGCGTGTCCAGTACATTTGGACACTTGCGGATGGAGTAGTCACGGCTCCTCTAAAGACCGCCGAGTTCCGCTCGGTCCACAAATGTTCTTGGCAGATGGAGCTTAATATGAACCAGATCCGTTCGAATTCTGTTGCTGCGGCGTCAGAGTCATCTTGAAAACGGCTTTGCAACCGCAAACTCAGCTGACGTGGAATGGGCGGGGCTTTGCGATTGGCGCAGTGCTGAAAGAAGGTGGAAAGAACTGCGTTCGTCGCACCCCCACCGGTCCAGTGTCCTATCAAGTGACACCAACACGCTTGCGCGATTGGGCACTCCCAGAAAATGTGCGCCGCTGTCTCTTTGCGTCCCCGGCAGTGCAGCACCGTACGACAACTGTTGTCCAGCGTGCGACCGGCATGGTATAGATTTAGCTGCTTTGTCGCGATACGATAGCATGTCCAGACCTGATACTCCGTTAGCCCGTTTGCGTGTTTCCAAACTTGGGAAGGCGTTTGATTTGATGCAGCTGACTGCCAACTATTCGATACCGCCTGCGCGTCATAGGCCTTCAACCAGGACTGGAGGCCAGGGTGCAGAAGGCGTTTATGAACGTGAAACGCTTGCTTCATAAGCGTTGTCCACACATCTACATTGGCCACCGTCTCTGGCACACTCCAAGGGAAACGGTGAAGCTCCGGGTGGGCATGAAACACCAAGGTACGATGGTGCGAATGCTCCCAGTAGTTAGACACTTGCTCAGGCGACCCCCGTAATTCTGGTAAATTCCCGTCAATCGACCAATGGATTCCATTGACATCTTGGCGGAGGCGAACCGCCGAGTTCGCGGACTCGACAGGGTCCCGACAGGACCCGACAATTAAATCAGCTCGCACCCGGGACCATTTATAAGCGCGCCGAAACGGCGGTGGATGACGTAAGACGAGCCCGGGCTCTACCGGTCCCGCACCGACAGCAAGGTGGGGTGACGAGAGCAGGATCGAAGTCGCCCAACGTTGTAATTTACAATGCATATGCCGAGACGAAGTACCGCCGAGAGACGGGAACGTAAATTGAAATTCATGTGACCCCAGTCGCCGAATGCACAGACTGCGCAGTGAACATGGAGGTATCCGGGCATATTTGGCCCGCTCTAGGGGCTTGCCGTCTGGCCCTTGAATCCAAGGATTGCCATCCCAGTGAAAGCGGCCCCAGAAAGCGGCTAATGTATCCATCCGGTGATCAGCAACAGCGGGATGGTCTGGTCGACGAATTAAAACTCGACACATTTGGCACACTATTCACTGACTGGATCGGAGGAGGCGCTTTTGTCGCCTGACTCCTTCGTTATATTGTGCACTGTCTTTTGACACAGTGGAATGTAGCGGGTCTGGACATGGGATCACGCGGGCCGTGTGAAATCGCATCTTCTTCGCGGCATTTAACGACGTGGGGGGAGGGGTCGAGGTCTGATATTATCCAGATAGTCGGTGGGAGAAGTAGGTGATCGACCTGGAATCTCTCCGAAGGTGCGCCGAATGTGCACGATATTCGAGCCAGAGGGATTCGGTGATGTCGCGATAAATCAGGGCGATCTGCGCGCGTGCACTGCTCGCCCCATTTTTCGTCTGCGTTACAGGAGATGGCCCGTTTTCACTTGAATGGACCCCATGTCGTCTGCACTATCCTGCGTTCTATGCCGACATTACAACTGTGATCGTGTCCGCCAGCAACGTCGCTGCGCGCGATTGCTTCAAATAGAGGCCATACGTAAAGACCATATGGCTACAAACAGCGCTTGCGTTGAAAACCAGCCGGCAGTTCCGACACGTCCCATTTTCCACGACGCTCACACCCGAGTGGTTAGCAAAGTTATCGTGTGGCAGCATAAAACCAGAGACGCAGTGCAAAGCTACGTGGTAACACGGACGTTGATCGAGACCGTGTGACAGGCATACGTGCGGGGTCTGGATTGACGACACCCATCACCAATCTTACTAGCAGCTGCTTTCGAACAACAGCGGCACATATGTCTTGATCACGCAAGTAGATTGATTCCTCACACTATGATTTATGGGATCAACTTTCTCGGAATCTCGGCAATGATCAACAGCTGCAATGGTGATGTAACATCTGGAGATACAGCTCGGAACATGGCGAGTGCGTTAGTGCGTGCCCCGGCCAAGATCCAAGAAATGTGCCACTGTGCGAGACAAAAAGGAGCTCATCAGACCATCGGCATGCGCTAAACAAAAACAAATTGCGTTTCCATTCATGTTGTCCATGTGTTGTTGTATCATACAGTGTCCGATTGCTCTTGCAAACTAGTGTACACGGTTGCCATGCACAAACATAGCGCAACGTTGTCGCTAAGCGGCCCACGAGACGTCAAATCTATACTGCACAAATGTCAAATCAACCAAACACGACCGACCGTAGCGTTCATGTCCATAGTGCTAGAATCTCCTTGCGCCGTTGCTGCACACCTGCGTCTTCGCGATCCAACGCTTCCACTGCAATGCCGGGGAAGTTGTTCTCAATCAACGCCTTCACGCGCGGTAACACAGCTTTAGGTGGTGCGTATGTGCCGCTATCGTTGTCAATAATGAGCCTCGGCTCACCAAACAGATGATTGTCGACGCGAAACTCCCCTGCGTACCTGTACGCAAGTAAAAGTGCAGCTTAGTTTAGGCCGCGGACACAACGAAATGAGCACCAAAATGACGTACAGCACAGAGAATGCAGCGCACGAGTGCAGCATGTGCTTGGACAGCATATCCTTGAAAAAGGCTGCACCTGTCTCGGAGAAGTACCAGCCGTTCTTCGTAATGACATACGTGAACAGGACGGGCTTGTCGAGACGCGTGCCGTCATTGATGAGCTTGAAGAACTCGAAAGGTGACGAGATCGCACCAAATTTCGTGTTGCTGATGCCGTGTGTATAGATCAGAGCGTGCTGCGTTATGATCGCTTGACGTAGCACCAGCGACTCGGGGTACTCTGACGAAAATATGCGCTGAATCGTCGGATAGTCCTTGTTCCACTCATGTTCCGTCGGCAAAAATAGCGGAATGTTGTGCAGTTGAACGTGGTATGCCAGCGACTCAACTTTGGAGTTGTTCGACATGGACATGGTCATTAGTCCAGCGGTCACGCTCGAGTGCACGGAATAGCGCACAGGACCGTACTCGTGAAGTGTAGCACCAGCTTCACGGAACACCGGGTGCGACCGGACCTACATACGTACATATGCACACAAATACAACGACACACATCATGCCATGCTTCCGTTATAGGTCGCACAAAAACACTACCACCAACGCTTCTACGTTGATGACACAACTGTACCTTGACGACGATAGTGCCGGCCTTTTTTCCATGGAACGTGATGGCCAACTCGCATGTCGACTCGGTGTTGTCCGTGTCGACAATCGTGAATTGAGTTTCGCCCAATTCATCGTCAGCGTTCACATCTTTGTCGAACAGGTACAGTTTGCATTGAGAGCCGAGCGGAACATTTCGAAAGAAAAACTTTTCGTTCCAGACGGGATCGAGCGTCGAAAAGACAGGATGGGTCCAGGCCAGTTTTTGACCGTTCACTTCAATGACAGCATAAGCGTCGCTTGAACAGAACTGGCCTTTCATCAACGCTGTGATTCCGAGATAGTCGCCTGCCAGTATGTTCTATATCATATACCGCCAAGCGGGAGAGAAGCGAACACGTCAGGTATGTAGCATGGACAACCGACACAGAGCTACAGAATCTCAGTTTTCGCACGCTGGCAGACACGATCTCCAGCACCATATCGAGCATAGCACCTGAAGGCAGATAGTAGTCCTCGGACGTCAACGGGAAGAGAGTGGGAGTAGAGCGGGTCAGGGCGGCCTCAAGGGCGTTGCGACTCGGAGCTTGGCCCATGGTGTATCGGGAAATCAGACTGGTACGGAGCGCGCGTGCGTACCGGTATCGCGCACAAAGCTGTTCTCGCAGCTCTGGTTGTTGACCAGTCATCGGTATTCCGGCATGTGTTTACCAGTACAGACCCGGTATACCTGTATACGACCGCTCCCGGTGCGCAGTCAGTGCTCGTACTGCCCATATCATATGGACACGATTCCAACGTCCGCGCTGGACGTCTGACCTCAACTGTGTCAGCGGTTTCGCAAAGAAGTTTCACGTCGCCCCCCGCGCTCGTCACGACTGACGGACTGCACTGGCGGACTGGATGTTACTTCAGAACGTCTGCGTGCATTCGACTCGGTCGCCAGCAATAACTGCGGAGCCACGTGAAACAAAACAAGAACCAGACTGCAAAAGTTTACTGCGTATTAATATTAAGCTCCAGACACAAATTCAATCGATGGTACTCTTAGGACTTGATCCCCAGCAGTAGGCCGCAGCAACTACCACCACGAACGCGGCGTACTCGATGCTGCTGAGTCGTAGAGAGAAGGGGGAGATGAGGGGGACGCGACACAGTGCGTCGTTACGACCGTTTGAAGACGAACACGGCCACGAAATGCAGGCGTCGGCATCGTCGTTCCCGGCGCTGCTGGTGCTGCTGCCGCTGCTGGTGCTGCTGCAGTCGCAGGTGGTGCTCTCGTCGCTGCTCTTGTCGCTGCTGCTGCACCAGTTGTCGGCGCTGCTGCTCTTTGATGTCGTGGCTTCTCCTCCGCAACGTCGCAGCACTGTTCACCACTTTGGTCCTCGCAAAGAGACGACGGGAAGTGCTGTAGTGGTCCGTAGGGCCAACGAGCACAGCGGCGTGCGGGGCGATCGTCACGAGGTGTTTCGCGAACATTCGACTGGACGACGGGCCAACGACTACTGGCGGCGGTGGCGGCGGTGTCTCGGCGTGAGACAGCGGACGCGGGTTCAGAACTGACGTGACGTGAGCTGCGTGTGCAATCGCTCTTCAGGGGAAAAAAAGTGGCTACTCCCTCGCGCTTTGCAGCCGAGTCAGTGTCCAGTCGTCGCCGTTGGACTCGCCGTCGACGCGGGAGCGAAACTTACGGCGACATGCCGCGTTTTTTACCGAAAGATAACAACACACAATCCGCTGGCGCGAGAGTTGTTTACCCGCAACGTGTTGCCGAGCGTGAAGGTATCTTTCGACGAAAGTTATATTCTTATTGTTATTTTCTGGTGCACAAACAAGCCAAGTCGTTTGATCAGTTGCCGTCGCTTGCTCACATTTGCAGCCAGAAAATCCCGCCCCGTCGTCGTCGCATCGAATTGTACGAACTGCTCAGCGTGTGTCCGCCGGGCCGACGCGCTACTGCGATTATTGCCGAAGAGCCGAGATAGTTTACCACATGTATACTTCTGGCGCTTGATATGGGACAAGCGCGCGGACAGAAACATGCACAAAAGAGGCAGACGCCGCCCGCTGGTACAGACCGTCAGTCAGGTCTGGTCACACGATGTGTGGCTGATCGCCGCCAGCTCGAGATAAATCCACTCCCGGGAATGCCAGCAATCCACTGAAGTGCATACGGTCTCGCGATCGCTGTGGCGTAGCTGCCCGACCCACGGGACCCTTTAATCGCCCACGTCCCCACCAACCAGACCGCCTGCGGTCTATGTCGATCGTACAGTACAGTACAGGTCAGCAGCTGCACCCATTAAGACGCAGGCGACGGCATCGAGAGCCGTACGGGTTTCGGCATAGGCGTTGCCAATGGCTCGACTGGGGGCTGTTCCAATGCAACACGTGAGCGTTGCGAGTCGCAACGGCATTACGCGACGACGAAGTGGTCAAGTGGATCGCTTGACGGTTTCCGTCAAGACGGAGAGAGAAAGAAACAGAGAGAGAGAGAGAGAGAGAGAGAGAGAGAGAGAGAGAGAGAGAGAGAGAGAGAGAGAGAGAGGGGGAGAGAGAGAGAGAGAGAGAGAGAGAGTTATAGTTTGTCCTCGTTCAGTCCATTCTTCACTCTGTCGTGGCGGCCGTCGCTCGCGTATCGCAAGCAAAACCGTTTGCCGACTTATTCACACGAGGGGTCGACAGTGCTGCAGACCGGATTGCCCTGGAGTGGGAGCCATCTACCCACTTCACGTATTGGGCGGGGTCAGCAGCCAGCAGACTTGATCGTTTTTACGTACCCCACACATGGGGGGACCGAGTGCAATGGTTAGAAACTATTCTTCCACCATCGGCTTCTGATCACCAGCAAGTCACCTTGCATATCTCGGCTGGGCAACGGAACAGGCATCGCCATCCCGGTAAAGTTGCGTACCCCATACGTTGTGCGAACCCGGCCGGCGCCGTCTTTGAACTCATCGATTGCCTCACAAACGGCGGCATTACTGAGTTATCCACGGTCTTGACCTGGGATCACGGCGTTCGCCGCGTCCGACGGGGGATCACAACCACCGCCCGCAGGCTAAGGCAACGGCGGACACGGTACATCGACAGGCTGAGACGGCGATCACGACGGCCACTGCTTACCCGACAGGCTTGGCACCACGCCCAAACCGAGGATCAACAGGAAGCTCACATCTGTCGGGTTGGCTTGGTTCTCCAACGTACAACGGAGAAACTTCGCGCGAAGTTTAAACGGGTGTCGGACTGGGAGCGTGACCAACGTGTTACAGCCATCAGGAGACTCCACGGTGATCCGTTCCTAGTCGGTTGTAGCGTCGCCGACAAGTTCAGTTCTGAATGGGATCATGTGCTGGGGCAGAGCCACCGTATAGTCCCAGTCGCAGAACTGCGTACGGCTCTGAGGCATTTTGTCGCTCTCCCCTCTGACCGCATAGTCACCACCGCCGAAAACCGAGCCCTGACGGCAGATATAACGGAGGCAGAGGTGGTACTCGCAATCCGAGCCCTCAGTAGGCATAAAGCCCCGGCACCGACGGCTTAGGGAACGATTTTTACAAGGATCTTCAGTCGCTGTTGGTACCGCCGTTAGTGGAGATAGCTAACGAGATCATCAAGGTGCGCAACCACCCAAGTCGTTTATGGATGCGCTCATCATCCCGCTACGTAAGAAAGGAGATTCCGACGACGCCATGGACTATCGACCGATCTCTCTGTTGCAAACGGGGTACAAGGTAATTGCGAAGGTCTTGGCGACGCGTATGCAGCAGTGTCTGCCACATGTCATCGGTTCTTCTCAACAAGGCTTTGTTCACGGACGACAAATGCAAAAGACGGTCTCAATGATGCTTGCTCACCTCCAAAGTGCACGTGAGGAGGTACTTTGGACGCCGACGCCAGCCGCGTCGTTGTCTTACTGGATTTTCGGAAGGCCTATGATACGGTCGACCGCGACTTCATAGTAGAGGCGCTCCGGCTATTCGGGTTTGCCGAGAACTTTCTAGCGCTCATTCAGAGGCTACATACCAACACGACGGCACGTTTTTCGGTCAACGGTGAGCTTTCATCAATTCGGCCGGTTCGGTCTGGCATTCGGCAGGGCTGTCCCCTCGCTCCTCTTCTTTTCCTGGTGGTAGTCGAGGTGCTGGCCGTTGCAATACAAACGTCGCCCCAACTTCACGGGCTCACACTTCCAGGAGTACACACACAGCCCCATATATTTTCGGGGTTTGTCGACGACTCAACCCTGTTTCTAAAGAAGCCAGTCTACTACGACCGGCTATGGACATCATTATGGAGTTTGGGCGGCTTTCGGGGTTGCAGGTGCAACCGACAAAAAGCCACCTCATATTTTTAAACACGGCTATCCGGCAACCTACGTATCAGGGAATCGCAGTGGTGGCTCCGTCAACAACTACGAGGTATCTCGGCTATCAAGTGGGTACAGGAAAGTTACGCAACATTAACTGGGCTCTCCGCATCAAAAATGCACAGCGTCGCCTCCTCACTGCAACGCGAGTTTCGACGACCCTCGAGCACCGACTTCTTATACTCAATGCGATAGTTCTACCCGGGATTTTGTTCACGGCAGCGGTCTTCGAGCCCCCGGTTGGGCGCTCAAACAGCTGGATCATCTCTACAAACAGTTCCTCTGGAAGACGTCCAACAGGATTGAACCCGGGAGACACAAAGTCGCTCCAGGCCTCCTTTACGCTCCCCGTAAGGCAGGCGGAATCGGCCTCGTTTCGGTCCCCGTCGCCATCAAAACCCAGCGGGTAAAACACGCGCTACTGGCACTTACTCGGCCAGAGGATGGTTATCACTCAGCGTGGGTGTCCTGGGTTACGCATGGTGCACACATCCCGGCCATCAGTCCGCATCGACCGAGCGTGCGACACATTGTATCGCCGTCTTCAGAGCGGTATCTGGATGTACTTTATGAGCTCGGATGCACATTGACGCCGACACCCGCGCAAACGGATGAGATTCTCGCACGGGTACAGGACCATCTACCGACCCTTCGATCATCATCGACGAGCTGGTGGGAAGAAAACGACTGGGTGCTGCATCTCTCTGAACCCCTTCCCAGTCGGCCTCAGTCAGTAGAGTTTTGGCCCCAGGGGATCGAAGACTTCTGGCTGACTTTCCGGTGGAGTGGAAACCCTTGGGTTCTCACCCCACAGGCATCGGCGTTGTCCCGGTCCAAGTATGACAGGATCGGCGATATCTCCTTTGAACAACTCCATATCCAGCGGACAGGACCCCAGGAATATGTCTTCGGCGGCATTTGCCCGGACCTCCTCGCCCCCCGCCATTCCCATGCCAAACTTCGAGAATGGGCGATCATCGTCTTACTCTCGTCGCCGTCACTTGATGTAGGAAATCCGGTGGGGGCCCCGGCCCCACTCCGGCTAAGGCATCAGCCCCCTTTCACACAAGCCATCACTTGGGTGCCGGTCGGGCCGGGTAGGGTTCGGGGCACTTCTGGCTCGGACAATTCTATTCACCCTCAGCGTTGGGAGCTCATTCAATGCCAGAATGGCATTTCATGGGTTTTCGACGGGGAACCGCCGCGGGTCCAAGGAAAAACGCAGGAAATCACCCAACTCGCGGAGCGCAGGCTCATCCGAAATGGGGTCGTCTTTTTTCCAACCCACAGGTCCACCGCTTTCCATGGTCCGCTCCGCTAACGGTTCCCAATCATCACGTCTTCTCGTTCCTGAAACGGCAAGCTTTCAAGTCGGCTAAGCGGTGTCTTGCGACACCGCTGAAGCAGGTCATTGATAGACTGGGCACCAAGAGCCAGCATAACCGTTGGCAACGCGCAGCTCTCGATGTCTCGCCGGCTCATCTATGGGGTCACGGACACGCGGTGACGGAATATCAGCTATGGACACGATACCGCCACGCTACCGGTCAGCTAAACTTTTGGTATCAGGACCGGCCTCCGGACGGGTCTTGCACGTATCGAGAATGTGTAGGACAGAAGGAGACCCAGGAGCATCTCTTTTGGGAATGTACCCGTGCACAGGCAATCTGGGCACGGCTCATCAGTCATTGGGAGAGCACACCTCATAAGCCTCACCATATACTGGATTGGCTCGAGCACTGCGCAAACTGTAGAGTACCACGCATTTCGCCGCAGGTCACGGCAATGCTGTTAGTCAGATACCCAGACGACATCGATCAATTCGCCACGGCCTGGAGGACGATCTGGGAGGTCGCAGGGACCGTCATCATCACAATGCTCTGGCAACACCGCGTGGACAGAGTTTTTCACAATGCGAAAATCCCGATGCAAGCCAGTGAAGCCATGATTTGGGGGAGGATTCAGCTTCAATTGCGGGCGCTCATCAAACGTCTCCATTGCAGGGCTGACACGGCCGTGCGGGGCGCCCAACTTTCTGCATGTTACGACATATTTATATCAGAACCGAGAGGGCAGCCCGGCTTTCATAGCCAGGCTGCCAGCCGTAGGCAATGCCTGGACCCTCCAGCGTTGCTAGTGTGGTTAACAACCTACCAGAGATCTTGCACTAACCAGTAAATAGACAATCTGTTCTCTCTCAGTGCTGCAGACCGGCAGCAGAAAAAGGTCCAGTTGACGCGGGGCCTAAAGCCCTCGGCTTGAAGTTGGCCCGCGTCGTCTCATTCTCCGGTCCGCGCTCTTGCCACGGCGGCTGACTGACCCGTGTGTCGTCACTTGTCTGCCACGCCGACATGTTTGCCAACCACTTTGTGACGATCGCACCGCATGCTGCCGTCATGGCAAGTCCAAGAGACTGCAGCAGCAGACGGCGACGGCACCGGCCTTGCAATTGGCAGCCGGCCAAGACGCCAGGAAAAGGCACGACGATGCCGTCGACAAACAAACAGTCGCGGCAGACCCTATTGCCTTGCGTGAATTTGCTGCGGCTGAACACAAGAGCGCGCCATCGTCGGCCTCCGACAGAGACGTTCGACCACAAGTGTCAGCTCGACATCACGACCGTCTGCAGACTTCTGGTCCGAAGCCAGTAGTAACTCGGGCTGCCCTACGCTCTTCGAGCGATAGCGCGTATACTGCCGTCCCACAGTTCTGGTCGCGTGCTGGAAGTATAGTAGCAGGTAACCACGAAAGGAAGTGGATACAAGGGAAGAAAAAGGATGAGTCAAATATTGTCACGGTCACCGGCTCGAGTTGTGCCACAGACGAGAGTGTAGTCAGTGCTAAACATTGTAGCAAACACCGCTCCTTGACCTCATTTCGGCCATACGGCATGAAGCACTTGATTATGAACATGATCGGCTCATTCCATCGACATCGAAGGCCATGTAGGCCAACGGAGCAGCTCAATCGTAGCCAAAGTGAGCGATGTTTCCAGCTTGAGTAATGGACAAGCCTCTCGATCCAGCGTTGTTGTTCTTGATTGCAAGATGTTTGACATTTCCACGCCAGGCTCGCAACGCTGGCGCCATTTTTCATCAATCCAGTGGTTGTTCTTTGGCTCACCACTGCGTGTGGTACTTTCGTGCGGGGAATGCTGAAGGGCTCTTTGCTTCAGATAGGCGCGTGCCTCGTAATCTGATGATGGTTCGTCTTTGTTTCTCTTGTGGCTAATGCCCGCAGATGTCTGAGTCCACTATACTGCGCGGAACATCCACTACAGTCCCATCCATTCGTCTTCGACATCCGCGGCATTCAATGGTGGCCCTGGCGTCCAACGAGGTGATACTGTCGTTTACGCGCGCAGCCGCAAGAGAACAAAAGCCGGGAAGATCGTAGCACTTGATTCAAACAAAGACCCTGTGGTGATGGCAGCTCCAGTCCAGATACGCGGAGCTTACCAGTAGCTTTACTGAAGGCAGCGCAGTGGGTGTAATCTCTTAGGTGGTCAAATGCGCTGAAACCCTTTACCTTTGCGATGGTCACCAGCAAGATCAGCAGCGTGTCAAAGTACCGTGAAGAAGGACAGCCGAGTGCATTTTCAAGACTTTGATGCTTCAACATGCTAGACCCACCTTCCATTCCTTCATGCCACGTCGACCACTGCCACATTGACGAGAATGGTCAACTCGTTCTGCCATTATCACATCAGTGCTACCACACAGACGCAATGCAGTCGAGTAGTTAAAATGCTACATAGCTGCAGTGGGACTTTGCAATAACTACGGGAGCGCAAGTGTAAGTCTGACCTTTTCCATCTCGAGCCACACCAAAGCTCGAGCGATCCCCCTCACCACTGGAAACACGACAAGTGTATGACCAGTGTACAAACGGCGAGTTCATGCGAGCGGAGTCTGGTCTCGCAGTCGATCACACATATATATCTGCTGCATGTTGTGCAGCTTCGATCACAACATTTGGAAATGTAGCACATGCCACGGCTGGGCACAGCGTCTGCAGCTATGATGACGCGCACGAGAATCAGCTGCTTCGCCGAGCTCAAACGCGTATGGCGAGCGACGTGTTGATCCCGGAGCGCGGCGTCGCGTTGCTGATTCCACAAGGTCACGGACATGATCAACGTTGTAAGCGACTACAAGCACTTGCTCACAAGAAGTAGGCGCTTGCGCATGGACGAGATGTCGCTGACCAGCCACCGATGCTGGTCACCGCCATTGATTGATGGTCATTGATTCTAGCGGCTGGTGGTGGCAGAGGTGGTGCATCTCACAACGTCATGGATATCATATTGTTCCCTTCTAGACCAACATGCAGCTTATAGACCTTTTCCTGTGTCGCTCCGCGTGCTGGTGTGGTAGCAGGGAAAGTTGCGCACAAAGACTGTGTATGTCCCTGCAGTGAGTATCCGCAACACGAGATGTAATCCTATCACAATCGTATGTGTTTGGGTCGATCAGTTAAAGGTACAAGTTTTTACTGGGAATGTGGTCTGAGGTGCTGGGTCGGAATCACTGTTCGGGTGGTGGACGTAGAAGGATGCGCTCATTCGTACCACGTACCAAGCTACATGTACTTTTGTGGCAATAGGGTACGTACATCAGTCGTAGTAATACACACAACACAAACAAAAGAACGCATGGTGCAGACATATTGCTCCCAAGTATAGCGCGGCAGTGTAGCTGCGAGAACGCCATTCATTTGTTCCTGTCTTTGAATTGAGTAGGAAGATGTGAGGGACGAGAATAGCAACTTCGGGTTGCAGGAGGCTGCGTGTGATGCACACACAGTACTTGTATGTTCTCATCATTTAGTAATCAAGGACTTGTGTGATGCCCGTGAAACCGCTCCTCTCGCTGGTTGGACAGGCCGCTTCAACGTGAACGAGCGGCAATAGCCAGCCAACGACACCTTCCGCCAGTAGATCAGTACACAGACTCCATCACTTGTTGTCACTCTCTATAGCGTCGCTCACTTCTCCGCCTTCCATTCATTCTTCTCCTTCCTTTCATTCGTCTCCTTCTTCTCATTCCTTCTCCTTCTTCTCATGCCTTCTCCTTCATCTCGTTCTCCCTCTCCTCCTTCTTCTCCTTCTCTTGCCTCTCCTCTTCCTTCCTCTTCTTCTCCTCCTCCTTCTCCTTCTTCCTCTTCTTATCCTCCTCTTTCTCCTTCTTCCTCTTCTTCTCCTCCTCCTTCTCCTTCTTCGACTTCTTTGACTTCTTTTCACAGTTTGAATCCTTTGACGTACAGCGTTGACAAATCTGGGAAAAGTACGAGCGCTTGCAGCCAAACTCCGACTTGGCACAGAGTGAACTGTTGGCCGAACACGACGGATTCTTTGCCAAGAGCTCCGAAATCGTTGGCAGTGGCCGCATGATCCCGCCTTCCTTCGTTTTGGGCCTTTTCGAGACAACCGCAGCGTACGAAGACACGAGCTTCTTCACACGTGCAGCATTCGCGTTCCGATCGCCAGGTTTGGCCCAGAACTCGAGTCCTCGATGCATCTTCACACCACCGCGCGAGCTCGAGAGGGAGGCGCTGAACTCCACGCCGCCGGCCTTACAGAACTCGTAGTAGTCGGCGAACTTTCTTTTGGTCTTTGGGTTGACCATGGACGTGATCCCGACGACGTCGTCGAGCAGGATGTAGCCTAAGATCTCGTACGAAAACGTGCAGGTCACGCCATCTGGTTCGACACCGAGAGGGCACAAGCCGCCCGGGTACTTCTTGCGACAGGCGTCAGTCTTCTTGTCCCAGAGCTGCTGGGGACAGCTATTCGGGAACGAGAACCAGTAGTTGTGCGGATACGGTGCAATGGCCTCGTTGTCCTGCAACGTACCTCCGACGCAAAAGCCCAACTTGGGCTCCCCAGCAGCTCCAATGTACTGGTTGCACTCTTTCGGGAACGCGCCTTTGGCGTTCGGGTTGCACCGTCCGCCGTCTAATGGCACGAACGGACAGCTCTCAAGGGCAAAGTCGTGCTCGTCCATAGCATTGGCGTAGTGCTTCATCGCAGCTCGAGGCTGTACGACTGTCGTCTGGTAAAAGACGACGTACTTGACGCCGTTCTTGCGCGTGCAGTTGGTCACGACCGACGCATTGATGCACTCGGCCTGGACGTACTTGAGCGCTCCTTCGACGGACGCCATGTTGACCGTATCGAGTGCGGCCCGGTCCTTGTCGTCAAACTTGTCGTAGAACGACGACACGAAGCGCTTGTGCTTTGCGTCCCAGTCGGGTTTGTCGCCTTGCACGCGCACGCTCAGCCGCGTCACCTTTGAGAACGAAGAAGCAGAAGCAGCAGAAGGCGAAGGCGTATTCAAAGACGAGAAGGACAACAAACTGCGCCGGGGGCGGCTCACCGTCGACTCGTCTTTGCTGCTGCTGGTGCTATTGCTACCGCATCGAAGGAGACGGACGTATTTGCCCGTAGCAGAACTCGGATCGTCGTCGGACGTGTCGTCAGTGTCAACTGCACCGCCAAAGCCGTTACCAGATACCCCAAAGCGGTCGCGTGCGTGGGACAGCTGCGGGTCGTCTTCGCAGCGAACTGCTTTGCCGCTGGTCGTGTATACCCACTGGGCGCTTAGGGTCGTGCCAAGGGCGAAGAGCGCCACGGAGAAAGCCGTTTTCATGGCGGAGGGACCGACTTGTGCTGGAAGCGAAAGGGACAATGGGACGAAGAACGCAATGCCGTAACTGATGGGCACTATGGGCGCGAGCGTTAGAGACGCGGGAGGGGGAACGGCCCCAAGCAGAGTCTATTTGGCTCCAGACGTCGCAGACGACGGCGGGCGCTTGAGGATTAGTGCGCGACGGCGACACTGTCACGGGATCTCCTCCTGCTCTGGGGATGGGCTGACCCCTTCGAGCATACCATATGAAGTGAGGCCGAGACGACTGCACGACCGCTACGTGGTGGTACAGTATCCATCTCCCGCGACAAGTGTTTGTCTCATGCGTTAGGACACACTTGAAGCAGGTCGCACGTTGATGGGCACACAGCTCAGTGTACTTACGAGACGCTGCGGACAATCGACGCGATAACTGCAGTCGATGGGCGCTGCGCGTCGTGGAAGAGGTACCTACTTGGCTCGCGTTCGGACGATGTGCGACACGAGGCCCATCGTGAGTGCCCGTCCTGCGCAAACAAACGTCTGTAAATCTGCTGCTGGTGCAGTCGTTGCTTCGACTTGCAGTGGTGTCGTGCTCTTTGGAGCGCCACGCAGTTTGCTGCGGCAAAGTGCTACGACACGAGCAGGTTAAACGGCGTTCAAGATCTGCTGCAACTTGAGCTGTTGTGCGATGCTGTGTGCTGAAGTACTTTCAGAAGTGCAAATGCTGTGCGTGGATGCAGTCCTTGTAGCTCGTAGAAAGGATCGGTAGTGGTCGTTGGTAGTCCATAGCACGCTGAAGCAGCGCTGGAGCTGCACTTTCCTCGACCTGGATAAGCCCCGCACGAGTGCGTGTTACCCCACGCCCGGCACCTAATGAACGATACCTCTGCTGCAACTACTCGTCCCTTTGCGAGCTTCTGCTATGCGCTGGTGAATGACTTCCCGCACTACTTTTCAAGCACACTCGTGTCGAAGACACTCTGACCTCGTACGTGAACGAGGCGCACCAGCGTCGCTCCTGTGTCTTAGACACGACTATCAGCACCATTACCGCCTCTGCCAAGACCCACGCATTCCCCTGCACGTCGGTGGAATCCGTGGGGGACTACGGGTAAACTGCAACACGCGTCTACAGGAAACCTGTACGCTTTGAGGCACATTTGACAATCGGACGAATTACACAGACCTGGGCAGGCACCTGCCGATAGAGACCCCAATCCATACTCTTGAGGAAGCTGCTGAGGTGCGCTCCGACACGGGCTCAGGACGCAACAGCACCGGATGCGTAGTAACGAACACGCGCTCAGTAGCCCGTGGATCGACAACGTGAGTCAGCGCATTCGGGCTGCGTCTCCTTACGTCTCTAAGCTGACTAAAGTGCAGCCGTTTCCCACTCTGGAGCCGCTTGGCAAACAGCCTGTCCTGTCGAATTCCTGATTGCTCCTCGAGAGATTTTGCTACCACAAGTCACGTGTTTGGTCTTGTCTACAAGCCCAGCACCGATGGTGAGGGCTTTTCGACGACCGGAATGCGCTCGGTCGTCTTCCTGACGGCAAAGTCGTTTACACTGCGTTGTCAGGAGAACTTTATCAGACGTCAGAACGTGCATAGGAAGTGTCCTTGAGCTGCCCTTAGGCCAAGCAAAAGCGCCAGCGCAGTCCTTTTGCGAACAGGCACCAGCGAAGCGGCATCGCTTGGCCAGACAGTTCGCTCTCTGTGCTATACTGCTGGCTACCCCATGTAGCTTCGCTAGATGGGCGATCTCTCTGGCCAGGGAATCGCTGGTCGCAATCGCTCCTTCATATCCCCTGATTCCAACAACAACAACAACAACAACAAGCACAACAATATATCACTGCGAGTTCTGCGAGGCGATGACACAAGCGCCATGTCATTGCATTCGTCTACCGCACCGTACGTGTCTTTTTTTCGCAGCGGTCGGGGATCACACGCCTTTCGCAGACACGTATCGAGCCAGATCCTCTCTTCAGTGGCGTGTCGCAATCGAAGCTTCCAGCAACGTGCATTCGTGTCGATCTGACAGCGGCGGTAGCAGAGACGGACGAACAAGCGACGGGTGCTCGCGACGAGGCGCGCCAACGCCCTTTGCTGTGGTAACACCTCATAGCACGAGGTAGTGGCATCAATAGCAGCGATACAAAGCGGCAAAACTTTCGCTGACAGACGTCGTTGTTGTAGGATAGTTATTAGTACCTCTGCGCGACCACGCAACCCACGTCGGACGATGAGCAAACTCGGCAGATCTGCGAGCGGTAGATGCGCTTGCACCCGAATTTGGCCTCAGCGCAGATTTTGCTGTTCTGGTAGCACGGAGGATTGATGGCCGTCAGTTCGTCCACTGTGGGGAGCGGCCGCATCCCTTCGGTAACACTTGCAGCCGATGTCGTCGTCTCGAGCAAATCGACGTACGCGGCAACGACCTTTTCCGACCGCTCGGCGTTCGCGTTGCTGTCCCCTGGACTGCGCCAAAAGTCGAGCCCCTGTAGCAATGTGACGTTCGTGTCAGCAATGGCGACGCTGAACTCCACGCCGCCGGCCTTACAGAACTCGTAGTAGTCGGCGAACTTTCTTTTGGTCTTTGGGTTGACCATGGACGTGATCCCGACGACGTCGTCGAGCAGGATGTAGCCCAAGATCTCGTACGAAAACGTGCAGGTCACGCCATCTGGTTCGACACCGAGAGGGCACAAGCCGCCCGGGTACTTCTTGCGACAGGCGTCAGTCTTCTTGTCCCAGAGCTGCTGGGGACAGCTATTCGGGAACGAGAACCAGTAGTTGTGCGGATACGGTGCAATGGCCTCGTTGTCCTGCAACGTACCTCCGACGCAAAAGCCCAACTTAGTCTCCCCAGCAGCTCCAATGTACTGGTTGCACTCTTTCGGGAACGCGCCTTTGGCGTTCGGGTTGCACCGTCCGCCGTCTAATGGCACGAACGGGCAGTGCTCGATCGCAAAGTTGTACTCGTCCGACGCATTGACGTAATAGGCCATTGACGCTGGAGGCTGTACGACTGTCGTCTGGTAAAAGACGACGTACTTGACGCCGTTCTTGCGCGTGCAGTTGGTCACGACCGACGCATTGATGCACTCGGCCTGGACGTACTTGAGCGCTCCTTCGACGGAAGCCATGTTGACGGTGTCGAGCGGGGCACGAACGTTATCGCCCACCGAATCGTAGAAAGAAGACACGAATCGTTGCGTATTGACGTTCCACTGGGGTCTATCGCCCTGCACACGGACTTGCAGAGACGTCACTTTACGAAAGGAATCGTCTTCGGTCGTCTCGGAATAACTGTCGTCCCCTCTTGCGTGGACGGACAGAGACGGCGATACTTTGGGGTATTTGCCCAACATCTCGCAATGAGAACCAGCGGCGGCCAAGTAGTTCGGTGTCACGAGCGACGCACTGAGCACGAGAGATAAAGCTGAAGCAGTTCTCATCTTTGTTGGTGTATGTGCGCTTGCGGCTGAGGTGTCAAAGCGAAAGTGAGTTCCGGATGCATCAAAGTCTGTCGGTCTCTGTGTGATGATACTGCATTGAACCTGAAGGCGATAACCAGAGTCGACAGTCCGGATCGATGCCTGACGTCGGAACACGACGGCGTGGGTTTCAGCCATGTACTGGATTACTGCCCACTGAGCTGAATGGCGTTTACGGTGCTATCAAAGCGTGGCCGATCTTACGGCGCCACAAGAACAAAGCGTTTTCCTCCCGCTCTCTCTGCAAGGTGTCAGTCCAGCTGGTCACTTGCATCGAGACAGACGCACGTGGTGTGGCCTTCTTTGAACGGCGGTGAGTGACTTCACCGCACGAACTTCCACACACGTGGCCTGTAAACAAGCAGTACCGAAACCTTGTGGACGCTGGCGGGTGGGTGCAGTAATACGCCCGCAATCTACAGGTCCTATCGACGTCGAGCACGTGCACGTGCACGAAAGAGCTGACTTTCGATACATCGCTTGCATTGCACGAAGGACCATTTGCTACGGCGGACCGTAGCCGTTTTATCATTCATGTGGGGGGAGACAGCGTGGTGACGATGTATCTGAAACAGGTAAAGAACATTGACACAGTGCGAAGGACGCCGTGCGACCGAAAGTCGTGAAACAGCATCATGACGTTCGTGGTACGACGCTAAACTGCTGAGGTTGAGCGAAGCGTAAAACAGCGGGACGGACGGAGGTTTTGTTCGTATCGAGCTTCGCACATCATGATACCCATCTCTTCCTGTTAGCGACCAAACGAGACAATCACGCCGAGATGTGCCGCACGCTATCTGGTGCCATCTGCCATCTGGATCTACAACGTGCCCTGATAGCATGACCACGTGAAACGAACGTGGAATGGTCTTCATCGCGCACCACAGTATGTACTCGAGCGCAACGGAAAAAGAGGCTACTGTATGCACTGCTGTGCTGGTACATGCAGCACTCTGTTCCGAGAGAAGCGAGGACTCTACTGGCAGATCAGCGCGAAAGATCAGCACAAGTGGTACCTCGTGAAGTCGCGAGGCTCGATATCGAATCACGACAATGGAAGATGATGCACAAAGTCAGCTCTTACGCCTGATAAGCTCGAACAGCATAATTGGTTTACATATCACCGCAAGTACGGCAGGCGCATGTACAATTGATGCCACAGTGTTGGTCAGGTAGCTTCTAGTTGTGGTGACTCTTGTGGTAGTAACGGTGCCGACTCTTTTCGAACTAGTCACTCAACCGGACATGTCGGTGCTGAGAAGAGAGCACCGCATGATAATGTACTGCAGGCCACTTGTACCCCAAAAGTCATTGTTCGAATCTTGCAGCCGTCGTAGCTCGGAATGACAATGCCACTGTGTGATCATACGTACTGCAACTTTCGTCGTCCACGTGCTTAGTTCTGTGAGTTGTCTAGCTGTGCATTTGGAAGCACCAGAATTTGGGCAAGTGCACTAGGCGCTACCGTAACGTCTCCCACGTCTCCGGCTTGAGGTACGCAGACGCTGCCGTTGACGACGATCTATCTTGCTTTATTCAGTGATGCCGGCAAGTCATTCGTTGTGTAGGAAGTATCTGTAGCGAGATCAATATAGTGCTAGTTTTCGGGAAGCCGCCATCTCAACTATGTATGGCAACAATCGAGCATGACTCGCTACGTCTTGCCTTAACTTACCCGCTCTGCTCAATACGAAGGCTGTGACCGACATGGAGACCTTGGGAATGCAAAATCAGAGTGATGATCCAGCGTAGATTACAAAGTGGTACATCCGTGATCATAAGCAGATTCACTAATTTTTTCTCGGAGAGGCAGCGGTGATGTTCGTGAAACCCATCGAAAGATTGGTTGTGTATACTTAAGTTTACAGCCTACTGACTGTGATTCAAGACTAATGGCACATGGCTGTATATATTCGGCTGCTATTCCCTTGCCACTCATGCGGTGACAGGTACTCCTGTCGCCAGGACAAAGCGACGATAGGCAACACGTTGTGCTTGTCTACTCGTAATGCTAAGAGAGAGCGAGGAAGAGAGTGTTGATCAGTCTTGCTGTTTGCAAGATGTCTGAAACCATAATCAGCCGGTTAACATCGCCAATGGATGTTTCGAACGGTGGTAGTACGTGACCGACCCAGGGTTGGCACTCCTGTTATATTCGTGTCTAAAGGCTGATCCTTCGAAAAGGGACGTTGTATATTCGTTTGTGTGAACACGACCTCGTTTCCATGCCTAACGCGGCAAATGCCTAAGTCCGACTTGAACGAATTTGTGAGCTCTACCTATCACGTCGATCGCTTTGCCCTCGACCACTACTCAGTTCCATCATATTTATAAGGTTGTGATGCATACCATGTAGATCATACCCCTCGACGACTACTCGTTTCCATTATGTTTATAAAATTGTGATGCATACCGAGTAGATCATCCACGACACTTCTATTCAGTGGATCCTTTCGTAATACTTTGCATTGTACCGAAACGCTCGGTGAAGCTTCACCATGCTTAGAACAAAATGTCGAAACGCCATGATCTCTCTATGGCACTTTTGTAACGTAAGTCTACAGACCATATCCAACAAAATTAAGTTTAGCTACGGTATAGAGCAGTATGCTGGATTACACATGCATTGTCATGTGTTGTAACATTGTATCCATGACTTTGACGAACATTCGTCCGAGTAAGAGGCGTACAAACTTGTCCAATTCTCATGTCCATTTAAAAATAAGCACTACCAAATGGAGAAAGTCATTTTCAAGAAGAATCCAAAAAAGTTACATGCAGGTGGCGCTAGTAGTCGTAGTCGTAGTAGTACGAGGATACTTAGCGTTAGCACCCGATGCTACAAAAACGACTTATACACAATTTATACACACTAGCTACGTGAACATTAGCGATCGAGATTCGGGTAGCGTCTAGGTGAGGTGAGAAGGTAAGGTATATTTAGGTACGCGTACGACACACTACATCCCATCGCAGGGCAACTAAGTGACCGCGGCGATGTTGGGTAGCGTCTAGGCTAACCAACGTCTCACGCATAACTCCAAAACTTTCGTTCTGGAGCAAATAGAATGTGCGGACATGCTGACTATCTGTTCATACCTAGTAATTTACTTCTTTGCGGTCTCTGGTGCTTCCAAAATACGCTAGATGGTATGACGGTATCATATGAGGTAAATCAATTGTTCTCTGCTCATCGCTTAATTTCTGTTCTTATACTTGATCTGAACCCTTCTTTGTTATCTTTAGATCGAAATGTATCAATGCTTGTTGCTCCACAATGTTCTCAGCACGTGCGCATCATGCGAGCACTTGGCGTATCCCTTTATTCTGTCTCGTCTTGTTTCGAATGACTGTCATGAGCACACCAAGCACGCATCTTTGCATGCTCTTGACGCCAAACGTTGGGGGCCCATGTTCCACTATCAGCAAACTTCGGCCTTCATTTCCATTACAATAATGTGATCATCGTGTTTGCTATCATGACGCGTTTTATGTCAGGGGATACTACGTCTGTAATCCGGGTGCTTGATGGATGTGGAATGATGATGTAGATCAATCAAGACTACCATGATATCCATGAAGACTTGTGGTCAATCAAGTATAATTATAGTTTCGGTCAACATGACGTCTTCAGCATTCCGGCAAGGAGCGACAGACGCAGCTTCACGGATGCTAACAACATTTGCAATATTCCGATTAACATGCTCGATCGCGAGCGATAGCCAAGAGAGCAAAGATGCTCGAGAAATATGTTTTGTGTGCATGTTTGTATCGATAAGAATATTATATAGTGAGTAGTGGTCTTCGCTGTCAGTTAGCTGTAGCAAACTTCGATCTGAATATGTCGTGGGCTGTTGAATTGCTTGCGTTTGACGCATCCTTGTTTCAAGGACATTCGACGAGCCTTCTTGCTCTACATGACCGTTGTCATTCGAGCCATCAAAGTTTGTGCGCAGTGAGTTTGTTTCGGCAGTATTTCAGTTGATACGAACCTGATGTCGCTCTCGTAATCAAATGTCAACTTACAATTGGCAAAGACGTGTGGTGCCGCATTAGTTGCGCCGCCATCAGCGCTTTGTTATACAGCATGAATCTAACGGCTTACTCTATATTGCGCACGTTGTATGCAACGCATCTTTGACGCGTTCCTGACTTGGCCTTACTCGCCGAGATCAAGTACTTGCTGCCAGTCTACTCACTCTTCCCTGCCGACGGTAGTCTACTCGGGTCCACCTGTTTCATTGCAAGATCGCCTTCCCCTTGTATTCTGCTGGTATTATTGCAAGATCGTCTTCCACTTGTTATCCCAATACAAACACATTAATTCCTTTACGATACTCAATAATAATTACGCACACGTTTGTCTCAGGTGTCTAGTTCATGCTTTTTTTCTAGTCTCTACAAATACTGGTTTGCCACGAGGTTTGGGGTCTTCACGAAAATGCGTCAGTAACATGCTGGTTTCGATGATCGATTTGGCATGTCATCAGCATGGGCGTGCAAGATGTTGACAATGTGCAAACAATCAATAAGGGTAGACACAGTTTTAGCTGTAGCCTTGTGCATGATTAGAGAGGTCAACGGTATCGGTGCAAAAACACGCTGATCACTATGGCATGTACGAAGACGTCCCTAGCTAGATGGGCGGCCTGCATTATCAATTGCGTAGCAGCACATATAAGTGCTTATTGAGAGTTTCTCTCTGACCGGCGTGTGAGCTTAGCATTGAGCCTTTGATCACAGACGAACCATCGCCATGTACCGAGAGCTACTATTCTAAAATCGGGCATCTCACTCTGTGAAACAAGGATCATGAGGAGAACCGAAGCTGAACAACAATAGGTAGTAGACTTCTGCTAGAAGCGCAGGGCATCGTGTGTATCGTATATTCTCAACGTTTCGCATCGAAATGTCCGTCAACGATCTGCCACATAGTCATGCTTGATCAGTCCGGTGTAGCTTACGCGCGAGAAAAGTCGCTGCAGCTCTAAATTTGGCATCACGAAGAAGAACAACGACATAATTATTACGTTCTTGCAGGTTTCGGCACATTATGTTGACCTGGCATACAAGTAGGGAGGGTATGTGGTACCTCGACTCGTGAGCACCGTAAGCAGGTGTTAAACAAGGAGTCCGATGAAGCGCTGACGAAAGTGTTGTCGATAGGAAGTGAGCAAGAGAACGCTTAGATTTCACACTTCGCATTTGGTATCACATGTTTCAATCTCGCAATTTCGCTTGTATCGTGTTGACGCACCTTGCGTTGTACATGCTCTCAGTTCAAGCGATGGTATAGAGAATATGTTGACGATGTTTATCTTGTCAGACATGCATTTACCTGCTTTATATCACGCTAACGAACAGGAAAAACAACAAATTGCGATTCCTAACCCACGTCAGTGACAAGAATATACGCTACCGTCATGATGCATGTGATTACATAAATCTCGACATGCCAAACACTAGTCGTAAAGACGAAAGTCGTAAACGACAAGAGCTAAACGCGATATTGTATCGTATACCGCTATGCAGACCAAGTAAATGCTTCGCAACATGTGAGCTTTGGTTTCAGCTACAAAAGATAAAATGCGGGTACTTACGGTCAAGTGTTTATCAGCTTACGCCACAGTTAAGATGTGACACGCCTTTTTTTCCTCAAGAGGAGGTATGAATTGGCTTGCACGGAGCTACATTACGAGTATACCTCACCGGCGGTCTCTAGTGAAAAGGAGGTATCCATGATGACTACAGGTGGTCTCGTGTGCAGCATATCGTTGTCTTCTACGGTCGTCTAACTTTTAGACCGCCGTGGTGGCATTTGGCATAACTTTGTTTAGACTGCTGTGAAGTCGTATGCCCGAAGAGGTCCTAGGGTCGAAGCATCTTGACGATTGTGGACTGAAAGCCTGCGTGCTGAACCACCTTAGCTGCATTGCTTGCCGGCTTTGCGCTTGCTTCTGGTCAATCGTTTTTCGCTGAGTTCACGCGTTAGAGCAAGACATCCAATAAAGTCGATCCGAGTGTTGCGACGCCCTATATATTGCCTCTAAATCCAAGTATGCGCACACCACAAGCTTCGAACAACTATTCTTCTTGCGGACAAGTCAGAGAAAATTTGCCATTGCTTCACTATCTGCAATACCTGACGTAAGGTTTCACAGTGGATGCATTGAGCTCTAGAGCAGCAGTGTGATTGTTTCTGTCAAACCTCTGCAGACCAAAGCTGTAGCACGTACCGCCAATGACACATTGTACATCATCAAAAGCAAGATCGATCACAATGACTTGGTACCCAGCAACACGGCAAGTCACACACAACAAGAAGGAGCAAGTGTGTTTCTTTATTGTTCGTTCTTATCGACAGCAAGGCGATTTTCACGGCCTTTTCAACTGCAGATGAGCGTTCCGTAGTTTCTCCTTCACTACCAAAGGATCTTCCTCAACGCAGCACACGCGCTACTCTTGCTAAGGGTCAGCACGGTACAACCAGCAGTCTCCATCGAAGACTTTCTGAACGTTTTGGTCCGGGTAGAAGCATTGATCGAAACGGAGCCAACATTCGTTGCCGTAGGTGACGCCATTGCTGCCACACACCGTGGTGCCTGTCTCATCCGAGCACGTCGCTGAACACTTGGACGTTGTAGCTCCCTGTCCACTTGGGCCATTCTGCTGCGCGATGAAATCCATCCACGCCTTTTCAGCTGCCTCGCTGTCGTAGCCAGGCATGCCCGGTCTCACTTCCGGATCAATGCCTTCGATGTACTTGTAGTTGCTTTTGGAAGGATCGTTGGGCCTGAACGCCGTGTAGCCGTCCGGTTTGGTGTTGCCCGGAAGTCCGAACGACCCGAAGTTGTCGCCAGGCGTTCTCATAGGGCCGAGACCTTCCAATTGTTTCGGGTCGAGCGGCGTTGGGTTTGACTTGGGCAGGTAGAAGGTAGAATAGCGGCCGTCATTCTTGATGTCTGGCATGTTCGTCGCCGACGCGTAGTCTTCCTCGACTGGACCAGGGTTCAACGGCTGCAAAGGGGTTGTGTCTGGAGTTTCAGCAGAGACGTTCGCAAGAGCGACGGCAGCGAGTAGTAGACCAACAGAGAGCTTCATCGTGGACTAGACGGAGCAAAGGTGGGGGCCGAGTCAAGTGGTTGTCGTTGAGTGTGCAGCGTGTGCCGATTTCGAAAGTGATTCGTTTTGTGGTCCGGAGCTGGGGGTTCTTGACGCAGTACAGTCGCCAAGCGCCTTGTAAAGGCGACGTCTACTCAGTGCAGGTGTCATAGGTTACGATGCTATAAAAAGCAGGCCGCCGAGACATGCGATTTTTCCCATCCGCACCGACGCAGCATATGCGACGCGTTTTTTGCCACAAATGAATAGGGCACGGACTGCAGCTCGAGCTGTGCAGTTGCTTCTTCACATGCGTGTTGTTGATGCTTTGTACGTGTGCAATTAGGGTACTTAACACACGATGAGAGACGCCGTTGCGGCATCAAGTCGAGGAGCCCCAGTGAGCAGGTGACCCGTATCTCGATACTGACGATCTTATGGTTCTGATGGAAAGGAAAGATACAAACGTGGCACTGCTCGAGTCGAATGACCGACTCGAGATCGCTTGAGAATTAAGTGCCTATGTTGGATTCCACGAGCCCATCGCGGCAGAGAGTACCCGCAGGGCCACTTATGCACGGACGACGCAAGTCCGGACTATTGTCGCTGGTCGATTTTGATTGGGCTGTGGGTCGGTCGCCTGAGCCCATCACTCCAGCTGCTTTCGCGTGCAACAGAGGGTACATAGTCACTTGCCACAGTGAGAACAAATCCCGAAAACCAATCATTCCCAAATTTTCACGATTCAGCTCAAGCCAGTCTTTTTCCCTTCGGGGCAGTCAAGTCGGAGGGAATCCTCCCCTTGGGGAGCCGACGTGGTCGAAGATCTGACGCGGGCACGCTGCACTCGCAGTCGCGGGAGTGGGCGTAGGAGACCGACGGGTCGCGCAAGCGGCCCTAGCAGGGGTGTTTTACGGACTGGAGGCGTACCCCGCGCCACGTGTCGCCGCTGCGGCGAGCGCACACTCCACGTCAAGGGGCCGCGCAAGCGGCTGAAGGGGGCCACCATCGCAGATGGTTGAGCTCCTCGGAGAGATAGACGGCGGGTTGGCGTTCTCCACGCCACGCAGTCACTTCGGTGATCGCACTCCACGTCGGGGGCCGCGCAAGCGGCTGAAGGGGGCCACCATCGCAGATGGTTGAGCTCCTCGGAGAGATAGACGGCTGGTTGGCGTTCTCCACGCCACGCAGTCACTTCGGTGATCGCACTCCACGTCGGGGGCCGCGCAAGCGGTCCTAAAGGGGTTTGTTGCCTTATATGGCAGCATACCCGCGTTGTACGTGCTGCCGCTCCGGCGGTACGCATGTCCCCAGTCTACTTGGTCGCGCCAGCGGTCATGATTGACTCGTAGTTGGCTTCGGTAGGAGGGTCTCTGACCTCGTTGCCGTCGCCCCTGGCTCTACGGAGCCCTTTAGTTGTCGACCCGATACCCGGGCCGTACTTCTTGTCACACTTATCAGTCGTTAGTTATCATAATAATGGACGTACTTGACACCACCACCACCAACGCACTGGAGTCCCAATTTTGATAGCCTGCTCAGGGCTCTGCCCTTGCACACGCTCAGCAATCGCTGCACGTGCATGCCGTCACGTCCACTGTGTCACGGCGCAATCATCGATATTGTTCCTGTTTATCCTCTTTTCTCGGTCATGTCTCCCGCCGTCTTCCGAGAGCGCCATGAATATTTGAGTATACAATTGCAGTATACGGGGGACGGGCTATGGCAAGGGGTGGAGCCATAGCCAGAGCAAGATGAGAAAGAGGGAGAAAGTGTGCCTTATAAATAAATGTGGCTGATGACTGAGTGACTAACAAACTAATCAGATACTGTTCTTTTTAATGTCACTGCTGTTATTTTCCTCTTTATCGTTGTTGCTGATGTTGTGCAGACCTACGCTGGTGTCGCGTTCTGGGAGGTTGGCAACTCTTTGGCTGGTGCCAAGTATCTACTACTAGTAGTGTCCAGGTACGTGGATGTGCGTAAGAAATAATGCGGTTCGAGAACTGACTGACGCTTGAATAATATTGTGGTGATGGTTGCAGGGTGCTTAAAGCGATCATGGTCATTATGATTGACTTAATGCTAGACTTTTTTAACGTCTCGATGCGACATGAGTGTCCGCGATCAACCCAGCGTTGCTTGCGTCTTGTGTTGGCGCAATGCATCAGGTACTTGCGATGCTGTGTGTGCA